CACTAAAATTTACATGTTTTAATGTCGTTATTGCGCTGGTCACGGTTGCTATCGTTAACAACTACAAACCGAACATAACTTGTGAGTGCCATGGATTTTCCCAATTTCCCTTTTGTTTATAATTGTGGATTTTTTTTTTGTTTACGATGCAATTCTATCGGCTCAGAACCAATTAGAAAACCCATTTCACGGTTTTGACAGTTCATCTGATAAACAAGAATCAAGAAACTATTCCAAAATGTAGAAATATTACTTGAGGATATTTCCTAAGCTATGCTTTATTATGAGCATTTGTTTGGTTCCATACTAACTCAACACCTGAAAACGTGTTTCATGCTCCATGACCAAAACATATGGCCTTAATCAATCTAAAATGAATTCGAGTTTATCATGTTTATTCAATTTTAGTGTAATTAGTGCGGTATATATACCCATGATCAGTTAGGTAGCCAAGTCAATAATAACGTTTGGCCATATCTGATAATTAAATGGTAATATTCCCATGCGAAAGGACATTATCAGGACCAATGATATGATTTGAGTAAAGCCTTTACTTTCTCTTATTGATGTTCTTCAGTTTTATCTGATAAAGTAAGTCAAATTATAAACACTAGTGAAGAATATATAGAGATTAATCTTTTGAGGGTCCAAATTGGAGAAGGCTTGCTTTTCAAAAAGAAGAGCATGATTATATATTCATATAGAGAGGACACACTCTTTGAATTTAAACCATGATTGCAATTATTATGGCGCATTCAACTTTTAGATGAAGCCAAATATTATCTCTTCATATGCTTTTTAAGTGTTTAGCCACGTTAATCTTGTGATTGTTGCAAGTTACAATATCATATTATCCGGTGTTTAATCTAATTAGATATTTCAACGGAATCGCCTCTAACTTTTTCGTTTCTGGTCGTAACTAATAAAGATGAAAGTCGTTTAATAAAATGCATGTTTCGAAATAAAATGAATTCAAACGAAAAAAATCTGAAGTACATCTTTAGATAGTATCCAAAATAGTTTTGAAATTGGTTAGTTAAGACATGAAAATGGCATACAATTGCACACTTATACAAAAACTATTTGATTAGTTTAGATGTTCCCATATTCCCATTAATTGGTTGATTAGCTTGTTTGTTATTGGGTCTTTGTTTCCGGAGGATGTAATCTTGCATGCTTAGTTTTCCGTATAACTCTCGGACTTAGTTGCTCTTGACAAAAAAAAAACAAAAAAACTCCGGTTGATCTGGTTTATATCATGATTTGGAAATGTAATATTTTAGACAGAAAAACAGTGTTTGTTTAGATATTTCTTCATAAGTTTTTGATGTGCTCATATAGAAAATTAAATGATAATTGGATAGAATAGAATGGTTATACTAAAGCTATGACGCATGAGAGTATTTTGACAGTGTATACCAGAACAAAG